TATATATATAGCTACTTACGGCAGCTTCACCCGGTACAAAACTTGTATTTTATAACAAAATAGAAGTTGAACTTCAATATAAAATTACACAATATACAAAATGGGTGTTTTGTTAAAGGGGCCACTATCTCCACCAAGCATTCCTAGGTCACCTTCGATGCAATCTTTAAATCCGAAAAACCCAAAAGCGAGGACAAGATGGTACACAATATTAGCCATGGTTGTTCTGATGGCATTCGCAAGCAACTTAATATCAGGCTCAGTAACTGACAACGCAATAGACACCATAAAAGCCTCGCAAATATATAGGAAATATGTACATCAAGTAGATCTTACTGGACTCGAGCTTGCGCTAATGCGTTCTAGAGAACATGTCCAAAGTCACAGTTCTCACAGTAAGGTTGCCTTTCTTTTCATGGAAGCCGACGGTCATGCACAAGATAAAATCTGGAAATCATTTTTTGACCAGGCCGACAAGAATAAGTACAACCTTTACGTTCACCGAAAATCACCGACCAGTCGCGGTAGATTCTTGCAGAATTATCCATCATACCATGAGGTATCAATGACATCCAGCTCTTGGTGCGCATTAATGGGACTTCAGTATGCAATGCTGCAAGCCTCCTTGAGGGACCCCACAAACCAGCAGTTTGTATTCTTGTCTCACAACGCCGTGCCGCTGAAGCCTTTCAACTACATGTACGAGGATCTGATAGTGGAATCCGCAGATAAGAGTAAATTCTGCTTCACATCGATAGCAGGTTTGATTTCAAGTGACTGCCGTTTCCAAGATAATCACAGAACTGACAGACCAGACACGCTTAAACATCACCAGTGGATTATTCTATCGCGCGATCACGCTGAGATAGTTCTGTATGAAAACGGTAAAAGCGCCCTAAAAAAATATGATAATATGCGGGATATAGTCGACGGTGTTTTCCAAGACCCCAAAATGTGTAGTGACGAAACAGTGCCGTCAATGGCCCTTATACAGAAAGCTGAAGAACAAGGGCTGATCGCCAATACATCTGACTACAGGGATGTCTTCAGCGGCTTGGAGAAGATTGGCGTAGAACAGCGCTGTACCACTTTCGCGTACTGGGGAGGGTGCTTAGTAAACACTACATTCGACTTGGGTGCTGAATTCGAGGAGAACAAAGAGAATCTCGGTGCCGCCCACCCCATGTCATTGAGGGGCGCGCCCGGGTTTTTTGTTAAAGACTTGGTTGCTCACCCATCGCTCTTGTTTGCCCGTAAATTTAATTCCGATGCGTTTGTGAACATTACATCCCCTGGGGATTCTGAGGGCAAGTTCATATATACCACAGAGTTATTGAGGGACGTACTCCCTGACTTACTCGATAAAGTTCCATCGTTTCAAGTGAAAACATTGGAAGAAAACCAGCTTGCGAGGTTAAATACCATAAGTACAAACTCGTCGCTCTTTATGAAAAGCACATAAAGATATCTGCTATTCACTTAAATCTCCGAGGAAAGAAATTGACTGTGCGAAAAACTCTTAAATTACATGCAAACTAACTAGAAAAGTGAACGAAGCAGGATAATCTACTAACTATCAAATATACTCACATACAATAATGCCAGAATAGTAACAGTATAAAGAATCTATACACGCATCCGCAATACGTCTTCCAATCTCGTCCAAATTTGCTCTGTGTGATCTGCAATCCATAAAACTCGTTTTCTAAAGAAGAACATGGTTTCGTAATCCACAACACTGGTAAATTAAATAGTAAATGTATACATTTCCTTCTACGCCTACATCTATATATATATGCATATGTATATGTGGAATATTACAAAATATAATGTATAGTATATATTTGCATCATACATAATACTATACAATAAAACAATACACACACATATATATAAATAATTATGAAAATAAAAAGAATTAGTAATGATTTAGT